TTCTATATATATGAGTACTTTTAACGCATAATTTTTTCGTTTACTAAAAAATGTTACCAACCGTATGCCATAAATGAAAACATACTTTTTTCGTGTATAACAATGAAATTGTTGTAAATAATGAAAAAAAGGATCTATGAGGTACATTCGAATTCTTCTAACGCACAATTTTTTCTTTTACTGAAATAAAGTAAGTAACCATATCAAATAAATAAAAACAGACTCATTTCGTTTATAACAATTCCATTTGTTATAAAAAATGGAAACGGGTTCTATTCAAATTGTTTTTTTATTTTTTCCACTGGGAATTTGGTCGTGTAGACCTTTCGGGTCGCACCCAGACCACTGCAGAGCACTGATATTTTTCTTTTGTTCTTTACTTTTGTTCGACAAATATGAAAACTTCTTGACATCATCTTCATCAGCATCTTTTAAAATCAAATGTCTTGAAAATTTGGTTTGTAGTTTTCTGCAAAACGGACAAATATGGCTTTTTGTTTTTTTTTTTTTACAGTAGGATCTTTAGACTTAGCGGTCGTGGGAGGAACAAGCAGTTTTTGAACGTCAATCGAAAGAGTGCTGTCAAAAGTAGATTTTTCTGATGCTGACGATTTCTCCAGGGATTTTTGTGTATTTTTTTGTGAACTATCACTAGGATCATAACTGAGATCATTTGTATCATTGCTACTGTGTATTATTTTTTCGACATGCAGATTAGAACTATAATCCACACTACTTTGATCTCTGGATGACTTGAACAAACTAATTTCCTCGTCAGAATTATTTCAATCAAACATGACCTTTTTGGAAATATTAATTATTTCACTAGGAAAAGAGAAACTAGGAGAAGAAAAAGTTAAGTTGGAGCACGAAGCGACAGCAACAGTGCATCCAAGTATACGTTGTGCGATACATGAACGCTCACAATACTCAGCATCGAATCAGAACTGATTCGATATCAATACTTTCAGTTCTGTACTTACCGTACTTTTACTTGAGTAAAATATTGATTTATAGTATTTATACGATTAATGATAAATAAAGGAATGATTTTACGACATGTCATTGCGGTATCAAATTTCTCATAGAAAAGAAGCAAACAACTCCTGTGATTTTATCGTTTTATATTGAATAGTTTGAGGACATGACTTCCTACATATTGTGTAGTTTGGGGACATTCTATTCTAGCAACAAATATTGGATATAAATCGTGTCCTCATACCTGCAGGTGGATTAAATGACCATCGAGTGCCATTATTAGTTATAAATATTGTGATGATCTTATGCTCTTGAGTGTACTGAGTAAATAGTCGTTTCATCTCAGCATTTGCACCAATGAAGTTCTCGCCACAGTCGGAGTAGAACGCGTGAACGATTCCAGTAGTGTTATCGCCAACTAGTTCCAAATGCACTCTACGTTGTCGAGCACATTGAAGACAGTAATGAATGAATGCCTTTATTGGATATCTTCCACCTATTATCCAATATTTTTGTCTGAGTTTTGTGAGTGTGGATTGTACACCACCATGTAGTATCTTATGATGTGCATCAGCAATGATTAGAGTAGTAAATGGTGAGTTTTTTGGTAGAATTGCAGGGTGCTTTTCTTCAGGATCGAGTTGTGATTGTGGGAGTCTGCCCCGTATTCTCAGAATTCCATTATCAAATATTTGAGCAGTCAAACGAGTGACAATGTTGTTTAGTGGGAGTTTTCTATTGTCGGCTAGTGTCATGAGTTCATAGGTAAAATAAGCTGCCTGCGTTGACTTTATCCAATAATTTCTTGCTGCTGTTGAGTCTAAAGGAGTAATATTTTTTGAAGTTTTAGGTATTCTTCGAAGAATTGACGCGGCTTTCATGATTGTAGCAGTTATTCTGATGAGTTTGGTGAGTGTTGAATACCTGTCGAGTAACTCCCATTGAGTTGGAGTCTCGAGTGTCGTTGCAACAGAAGAAAGACCAGGTTTTGCTCTAATGTTGAAGGCCTGTTCGTTGAGTGGATGATTTTCTGGCCAGTTTTCTTCAGACTTTGTCAGCCAGGTAGGTCCTGACCACCATAAGTTGTTGTTGAGTAACTGGGTGGTAGTGATGCCTCGTGAGGCACAGTCAGCTGTATTGTGCTTGCCCAGAATATGGCTCCAGTGTGCATTAGGCACAAGATCATAAATTTGCTGTACACGATTCTGAACAAATTCCTTCCATCTGTCTGGCTGAGTGTTGATGCATGTAAGTGTTACTGATGAGTACGTCCACAAATATTTCGAGTGTATGTTCACATGTAGAGTAGCTTGAACGTAGTGAATGAGTTTGGCTAGCATTGAGGCAGCGGTTAATTCTAGCCTCGGGATCGCTAGTTTCTTCAGTGGTGCGACTTTTGTCTTTGCACAAAGTACCATTATTTTGGGCCCTGTGGATGGCGAGTAAGATATTTAATAAACGGCTACAGCCATTGCATCTTGAGAAGAATCAAAAAACCCATAGAGTTCTCATTGTGAGTGGCTTTATGAGTTTATCCATCTAGAAAGAGAAATTTTATTAAGTGATGTGAGATCATCTCTGATGCTTTGCCACTTAGCAGCGAGTAGTTGAGGAACTTGTTCATCTCAGCTCAACTTCAATAATCAAGGCTCCTGCAGAAGCATCTTGGCACGTACTGTAGTGAGAGAAGCAAATCTCAATGGATCAAATATCTGAACTACTTCAGATAAAATAAGGCGTTTAGTGATTTTAGATCCTGAGTTTTGAGTTTTTGATGACAAATTAAATGCATCGTTGAGTGGATTCCAGTTGAGTCCGAGTATTTTCGTATTACAGTCTTTAAATGAAATTGGGGTGGAGTGACCTTCTGATTGACAGATGTGTCTAAATACTGACGAGTTATTAGAGTGCCATTTTGCCAGTAGGAAACCGCCCGCCTTGCACAACTCAATGAGTTCGTTAGCAACTTGAATTAATTGTTCAGGAGTGTCCGCTCCTCCAAAAATGTCGTCGACGTATCTGTCTTTTATTATTGCCTTAGAGGCTAGAGAAAACTGATGACCTTCGTCCTCCACTAGTTTTAGCAAAATACGTACACCGAGATATGGAGCAGATCTTGTTTCGTAGGTGACAGCGGTGAGTTGATAGGGAGTGATTTCTCCCTTGTGATTGACCCAGAGAATCTGTTGGAGATGCCAGTCATCTGAATGTACCATAATTTGACGATACATTTTTGTAATGTCAGTAGCCAACAGATATTTGTGTTGGCGTATCCAGAGCAGTACATCCGTGATGTCACATTGTATTTTCTCTCCAGTGAATGAGATGTCATTGAGTGAGACTCGTGTAGTAGTTGAGCTAGAGCCATTAAATACCACTCTGAGCTTGGTAGTTGTGCTAGTGGATCGTAAAACACCATGATGAGGCGAAAAATATTGAATTTGATGTTCTTTGGCGTTTGTAGCATCTACCATGTGTCCCAGTTGTTCATATTCTTACATGAATTGAGTGTAGAGTGTTTTAAGTTCTTGATTCTTGTCTAGCCTTCTTAGTAATTGTTGGAAACAGTGGTAAGCGGTGTGATAGAAGTCCCCAAAAGTGTTCTCTGGTGCCTTTAGAGGTAGTCTGACAATGTATTTGCCCGAAGAGTAACGTTAGTAGGAGTTGGTGAAATGATTTTCACAATATTGGTCACCTGAATTTCTTGGAGTAAGTTGAGTTGTTGGAATCTCCTCTTCAACTCTGGAGTGTGTGGAGTTTTGAGTGGCTGATGAAGAGTGCTTGGGGAGATATTTGAGATTTTCAAGTGTCCTTATGCGAGCAGTGATGAAGTCAATGAGTTGCTGGAAAGACGGGATCTCTGCAGAGTCCCCAATGGACATTTCCGACCGTTGTCAGGAGTGTTGAGAGTGTGGCTGCTTTGATGGAAGCACGCTTGACGTCCAAGTGTTCACCGGAGATGAGGTCCAGTTGTGCAAAAACAAGCCGACGCTTGTTTTCGAAGCTCCGAGTAAGCTCCTCCCATGTTGCCTCGAAGCTTTCTTCAGAGTGCGGTAAGGAGACAATTAAATCGTGAGCTTTCCCCTCAGTGTAGTGCAGGAGGTATGCAAATTTATGCACACCATCTAATTGAGTGTTGTTTCTCACTCGTGACACGAAGGCTCCGTTGAATGGCACCCAGGTGGAAAAGGTTTCTGCAAACTTAGCCATTGGAAGTTTCGGCAAGCTTGAGAATAATGGCAGTCTTGACGCTAAGATGGTAGAAATGCCTGATGAGTGTGATATAAATGTAGATAGATCTTGTCTCGGCTGGGAATCAAATTCGCTACCTACAGTGCGCCAGGCTGGCACGCTGCCACTTAGGTCATGATGTTGGTTTTCTCATTATTAAAGGAGGCATAATTCTCGCAGATTTACATTATCATACTATTTAATAGGCATAATTATGAACTTTAAATTCCCTTATTTTTCGGGGTACAGAAATTTTGTAAACCTGATACTCTAAACACTCTAGCATTATGGGCAGATCTAACTTTACCCGAGTAAACATGGATAAACTTCGTTCATGGTTGCATACAACCTATAAAAAAATCGAGAGAAAGATAAGTAAAAAATATAAAATTTTACTGTTTCTTAAAGTAAACTTTATCGTCTGTTAAGGCAAATTGTACATAATCTATCAAACATAATTTTTGAGTTCATTTCGATTTCCTCTGAAATTAACAATAAGCTGTATGATATAAGTATTCAATTCACTGTTGTGAAGTATTTTCAATATTTGTCTGCGGCTGACTGCAGATTGGCATTGTACTATCTAGCGTAGAAACCGGTAATTACACCGACGGTCAGAAACTTACCTCAGGTTAGAACGAATGTACGCGGTTAGCAAAGTAAAATCATCAAGAATCACTTCTATTCAAATACTCGTCACTGCTGATTCTTTTACGGACATAAGCTGTTATTCTATATTTTAATCTATAGAAATGTGAATTTTCCTCACTTATGAATCTTTCAAATTTTAGGTCAATGGTCATGTTATCTCAGGTCGATGTCATCTGAATGCATCTGTTGTGATAAAAAAACTACCACAAATGGTCATTAAAATGATTATAAGGTATGTAACTTCAACATTAATACTTTGCAAGTTTAATTAAGTGTACACCGGTAAGTACTTTCTGCTTTACATAGGAAAACTCAAGCATTGAATCATGAATTATTTAATAAGTAGAATTTACACATTGTTTTTTCGAGCAAAATACTAGTTACTAGACTTGTTTCTCGGCATCAAATTATTCATTAGATACTACACATGATTTTATTGTTAGATATGGATAATTCTTAAAATAATAAAGGTGTTTCAATCTCATCCCTGTAGACTAATAGCTCGGTTTATCAGTGATTTATAGATGTTCAACTCATTTAATTGCTTAACAGATTCTAAATGATTATGAACTAATCTATTTTTGCAAAACCATCAGTTAATAAACATAAAATGAATACATTTTATCCAATGAAAAATTTAACATCACTGGAAAATTCTATGTATTCTTTCTAGTCACTTTAATTTAATTTTATATAAATAAAATCATCTATGCGCTTAGAGAATACGCCGTTGACCACCTAGTACATTAACTCAACTCTACTTACCCAATCAATAACATTAATTCACACTGTATAATATTTTTCTTCATGCAGTTGAACGTCGTGGCTATCCCGCCAACTCGCTTGTTGCCAGCACAACATCATTTATATATATATAATAAATAATATCTATTGATACCTAATTTAAGACCTTTTTGAATACTTTTCAGCAATATGAATCAAAATATGGTTAAATGTATATAAGCTGAGATACATGTAAGTCGTAAAGTTCATTCAGGTGCAATGACAAATGTATTTGATAATATTGTAAAGTAAGACTAAATAACAACTTCAGAAAATTAATGTATAAAAAAAAAGTTTATTAAAGATTGAGAGCAATTAATAAAATGAAAAGAATACGTCCGGTCAACTCAAGTCTCGGTCAAACACTGTAGATAAACAAACTCTCCCCTCGTTGCTATAAACAATCTAATCGTCAAGCAATCATCGTTAACTAACAAACTGTCGTTAATCTAATAGTCATTAAATGATGACATACAAATATTTTACATTTCTTCCGATCTTCTAAAAATTTCGGAGACGTAAAAAAGATCATTGGTAATGATTTCAAACAGAGGGTAAAATTTTTGTGCTGAGTGGTAAGAGTATTCATGGAATAACGCTATAAATGTTCATAATAGAAAATTTTCAATGAGTATGTCTTGGAGTCATCTACGAACAAATGTTGAATTCTCGTTGAAATTTTGATTTTTAGTGTTTTGAAATTTGAACTGACAGCGTTACACTTGGGGTCGAGTTTTGCACCTTTTGTAATTATTAAAGTATTTCCGTTTATAATTTTTGATAAGTCTGTGCTGTCTTATTGACAAAGGGAAACCAAAAGTCGCACTTAATAATTATTTTTTATTGTCTTCAAAACTTTTTCAAAGTCACGCAATCGAGAATTTCTCTGCGATGTTATGCGTTCGTCTGTAAACTGATCTAAAGATTATAAACAAACAAATTGCTGAGAAAGGAAAAAAATAAAGTGTGAGAATTTCAAGAAAAGCCCTCTCAGACAAAGCAGAGAAAATAAATTAACAATGATTACTTAAAAGTTCTTCTACTATATAAATTAGAGTTTTTTTTTTTTTATGAACAATGATTTTTGTTTTTTTTTTATTTCTTTTCGAGAAGGATACAATTTATTTTGAAATTGAGATAGTTATTCTTGAGAGAAGTATGATTCGCATTTGCTGTCAAATTAGCATTAAAATGTACCCTTATATACAAAAGATATAAAGATATAAAGTTAACAAAGAGAAAGGTAAAAAAAGTCATGACTCAATAGATTGGAAAAAAGTATTTTTAAAAAATAAAAAAAAAAAAATGTTCAACAAGCAGTTCTGGACATCGCTTAATTTTTCTCATTTCTTCTATGCATAATGAATATTTCTTTCTTTATTTCTTACTGAAAAGGTGCTCAATGGCACCCTCTGCCGGAGCGCCTGAAACAGTCGATTTTAGAGTGTTATGTCCGAGTTTCTTCAATTCAATAATTTAAATTAATAACTACTAAAAAAGCCAAAATTTAGGGTAAAGGGTAGCGCGCTTCCATGAAGGAGGCGCTCGGACTAACAATAGATTTCAGGGTACGAAAAGTCGTTCCCTTTAGTTAATTTTGATTTAGGGATTCGTTGTGATCTTAACCGGGTGTGGCGGTTTTACGTAGTTTATCGTGCGAGGAGTTGAGTATGGAAGGAAGAAAAAAAAGAGAAATAATAAAGATCTGACTTCAATACAAAAAATTTATACTTACTATGAAAAGGGGACAAAAAAAAGAAACTATCATGCTTACGCTTCTTCAGCAAAAATTCTTTGCCAAGCTTTTTCAGCAAGCACTCTATCAGCTGCGTTTTCCGATTTTACATTATCTTAATTTTTTGAATACGCAATATCGTACCCTTCACACGCTGCATCCAATGGATTTACAGCAGGACCACCACGTCCTAATCGTTTTTGTAATTTTGTGCCGGCTCCATAATACTGATATCAGGAATGTGTAACTCAAATGGCAATTTATTTATGATTGTATTAACTAAGCCGGTGCCACGTCTATACTGTCTCATAACCCGAGCCATACTGAAATGATTTCTATAAAAGTAATGCATTCATACTTTAGCTCTTTAGTTGACATCGAGATGAAGTTCAAGAAACAAATAACTCAATTACCGGTGTTGAATTTCGACAACGTCGTGCCACAAACTGTAGAAATTTAACGCCATGGTAATTTACTACTAAGTAGCGTTCGCAACGTTATATGTGGCCCCTCAAATTGTGGTATAAAAAATTCTCTCTTAGCACTTATTATACACCTGAATGGATTACGATTTAGAAATATATATTTATATTTCAAATCCATACATCAGCCAAAATATAAATTTTTAGGAAAATTACTTGAACCTGTAGATGGTATGGATTATTTTCCTTTCAATAAACATGAAGCAGTTGTAAAACCAGAGCAAGCAAAACCGAATTCAATAATGATATTTGATGACGTAGCTTGTGAGAAACAAGATAATATGTGTGCTTATTTTTGTATGAGACGACACAAAGATGTTGATAGCTTTTATTTCTGTCAAACTTATGCACGTATTCCCAAACATCTAGTGCGAGATGATACAAATTTTCTCGTGCTCTTCCGACAAGATGATATGATTGATCTTTTTCTGCGTGACACTATCATCAGTTACGGTATTCTTTCAACCTATGCTTGATAATAGAACCGAGTACACTAATAGAGTGATAAAACAACACGCTGAAGAATATCATATTTAGCTGACCTTCACGCCAGTTGCTCATCCTCAGGCTAATCCGGTGGAGGGCGTTCATCGCACTTTCAAGCCAATGACTTCATCTACTTGTATATATACGATCATCGTACAAGGAGATCTACAGGTGGGAGCACATGTATATCATCCAAATAAAAAATTGAGCAAAGCGTCAGAGCACTTTTTATCTAAATTGGCACGAAAATATAAAAAAATCAAGCACGCAGTAAAACGACCAAAGGGTGTCCCCATAATACCTGCAGGAACCCTCATTTCCTGCCAACAGCCAATGTTTGAAGACCTCCTACCACCAGAGGTGCCCAGGACGCAAGACTGTCTGATAGAATTCTTCGGCGGCTCGAATATAGCTTCTAGAAAAGTGGAATATCTACTAGCCCGCATCGGATATTGGGTATAATTAAGCCTCCTGGATCTATACTATCGATTCGCCTACACATGGACAAACTACCATCCAGAGGTAAACGAGGATATACCCCAAGACATAGTACCAGACTTTCGTCCTTCACCACAGCTTCAGAGATTATATGCCAGAAGAGGTTTGACGAGAGATGACGTCATAGCACTGTCAGTGTATGGGGTCGATCCTCTTATATTATCAAAATCACCGAGTCAACCATTGGTATATATAGCCCCTATAATCACCAGACAGAAATAGGCTTTGGACACATTCCACGAAAAACTGATCCGAAGGTCATTTTTGGAGAAGGCTGCAAGAAGCTCTGAAGAGTAGTTTACCTTCCAGATACATTATGCAGGAGAAAAGTGCATGAGCTGCTTAAACCTCAACTATAACTACTCACAATGTCACCCACCCCTTCGGCCCGATTTATGCTTAGGCTGTGGACAGCCTGGAATAACAACAATAGACTATTACGCTTCAACACCACATGGCACATGCGCCGAAGCGCTGCGACGACGAACACCAGAGCTGATGGTTTCGCCTGATGACTTCTAGTTCACACCGTCATCAGGCTCTACTAGATTATAGATTGGAGCACTAGTGATATTCATTCTAATGATCGCGTTTCTTTGTCTGCATTTTGCTTTCACGGGTGATTTCAAGGTCGTAGCTCTTCCGTATGAAGACTATCATTAAGGGAAAATTGAGAAAGACCAAAAAGACTCTAGTTATGTTCTCAATAATTTATAGTAGTAAATATGGATTGTTTATGTTAACTGTAAAATAAGAAAGTTCCCGAAGACTACTCAAAGTCTAGTTTAAGCATAGTCTGTAACCTTGTCGAACGTAAAAATGTGACTGAAAACCAGTATTGTGATAGTCTAAGAAAATATTACTTTTTGTATTTTTGTACTTTTGTATTTTTATAAGTCTATACAAGATGTTTATTTTCCAAATAATTGACTAGATCTAAGATCCGTCTGATGTATACGTTCAATTAATATATGTCAAATATTTCTAATCAATGTATCAGTACTGAAAAAGAAATTACTACTCTCCTTTAAGCCTTCCAGTCCTTGAAAGCAAAATTCTATATCAATACACTTTTCTGCTTTTGGGACATCCCTTCTGGATCGTCCAATCAGGTGTTTAATAATTGCACTTGTTTCAAGGACATAAATAGTCTATTCTTTGCATTCCTTCGTTCCTGGAAAATTGTATTATTGCTTCTTGCCTCTTTTTAAATAAAATTTTAAATAACATTGACTCTCGGGACGTCCC